TTCTCAGTATTTTTTGGGCGGAAACTAAGTTAAGGTCCTAATATATATATATATATATATATATATTACACAATATATATTACCACACTAAAATACTTCTTTACATATTTTGCTACACATTTAAATTCACACTTTGTGTAGGAGTTTTTGCTAATTTTCTCAACATTAATTATTTTAATATATGTTAGACTCATCAATTTAGTAAGGCGAAAAATTAAAGTTTAAGAGATTATTTAGTTTTAAAGGAGGAATATATTATTAAAAATTAATACTATAAAAGAGGAAAAATATAATTTAATTTTTTAATATATATACAAAATACACGAAATATAAATTTATATCACATACTTATTAGGACCTTAACTTAGTTTCCGCCCAAAAAATACTGAGAAAAAGCATTTATTGTAAAAAATTTATTTAAATTATTTCAATGAAAGTATTTTCCATCACTTTCTACAACTTTTTGCCATCTTTCTGGCAACTGGGCGATACCATCTCGATAAAACGATGTTTGTTTCGAAGCAATCCATTCGTCCACCCATTCTCGCACTTCTTCAACATTTCGGAAGCGTGTACCACTCAAGCCGTGCTGCATCGATCTGAACAAGTGGTAATCAGAAGGCGCTATGTCTGGTGAGTACGCTGGGTGAGGAAGAGTTTCCCATTCGAGCTGCGTCAGTGTTTCTTTGACGGTTTTTCCAGTGTGTGGCCGAGCGTTATCGTGTAAGAGAATAACTTTGCGCCTGTTACTCGCTATTGCTGGTCTTTTTCGCAACAGCTCATCATTCAATTTGTTCAATTGACATTTGTAGACATCGGCAGTAACAGTTTCGTTTGGTTTCAGCAGTTCGTAGTACAGCACTCCTTGCTGATCCCACCAAATGCAAAGCATTACCTTATGACCGTGGATGTTCCGTTTTGGCTGCGATGTTGATGGTTGTCCTGGGTCTACCCATGATTTTTTGCGTTTGGGATTGTCGTAGTAGATCCACTTTTCATCGCCAGTCACAATACGCCACAGAAAACTCTTCTTTTTTTGCCTGGCAAGCAACGAAACCGTGATATTGAAACGGTTGTGAATGGCACTTTCAGACAATTCATGTGGTACCCATCTTCCTTCCTTTTGGATCTTTCCCATGGCGTGTAAACGTTTGGAAACAGCTGCTTCAGTAACTCCTAGCTCGTTTCCAAGTTCTTGTAACGTTCGAGCCGAGTTTTCATGCAATAATGCTAGCAATTCATCGTCTTGGAATTTTTTTGGCTGTCCTGAGCGTGGTTTGTCATTGACATCAAAATCATTACTTTTGAATCGTCTATACCACTCTTTACATGTTGTATGTGATGGAGCTCGATCACCATAACCTTCTTCAAGTAATCGATGAACTTCTGCTACACTTTTTTTCAAATCAAAATAGTGCAAAAGCACATGTCGAAAAAACACTTTATCGCGTTCCATTTTTCACAAAGCAAAAGAAATTGTTGTTTAGGAAAATAATTGTGTATGCTGACTGAATGTTATCGAGAAATGTCGAAATTAATCACAAACTACCTGTTTCGTTAGTAATGACTACTAGAACTGTTTGCATTGCCATCTAACATTTGCGGGCGGAAACTAAGTTAAGGTCCTAATATATCTACATTGCTGTTCCTAGAAATTGCAACACCAAGAAAGATTCAAGTCATAACAGTGAAAGTTATGTGAGATGTCTAATAGAGCAAGGTATAAATGATTACAATTTCAGACCTGTATATGACGAAGTCTAAAAAATTAATAATTTGTTAATCCATCATGACAGTGAAAACAAACTGTACACGACGTGGCATCGATTGAAAGAGATTCTGTATAGTCGTTCCACGTTGCTTCAGGACGCATCCACAAATCGTTGATGGTAGCAGAGGGTAAATGAGCCAGTCAATATATCATCATACTTTACACTTTTTCAATTGGCAATAGATCTGGCGAACAAACAGACCAGGGAAGAAGTGCACCGTGTTGCGTACAGAAGACATATTGAACATTACATCATATTGAACATTATTGAACATGAGGTTGGGCATTGTCCTGTTGAAAGACAGACCCAGGGATCGTCCGAAGGAAAGGTAGCAATTCAGCTTTCACGATGTCAGTGACTGTTGACTGTTCAATGTACCAGCAATGCGTGAAAGGCGAAAGCGTGCATTAAAAGCAATAGCGTTCCAAACCATCATGGTTGGTGTAGGACTAGCATAACGTTGCAAAATGCAATCTTCTGACAAGGGGACTTCACAGTGTGATACCAATCGATTTCAACGAAACTCATTGTATCGATAGGTCATCACATCTAATGTTATCGGGTAAACGGATAAGACGCGTCTCTCAAGCATTTGCGAGAAAATTGTAATTAAAAATTTCGAACGCGTTATATATACGTACAGCATACCAGTTATTCGAAGCGTTCGTGGCGCAGCGACAGCACGCTAGATTCGTAGCGTTGATGTTGCGGGTTCAAGTCTCGATAATTTTTAAAAAATTTTTTTCTTAGAAATAAATTTTTTTTACAGTACAATGTAAATATTATACAAAATAAATACAATTAATACGTTTTATTTTGTGTATTATAAGATGTATTACCTTTTGGCCTGGGAAATCTATAAAATTCTTTATAAAATAATTTAAATAGTAGAAATAAGAAACGTTATAAATGATTTCTAATAGGAATAACAACTGTAGGTCAGTGCTATACACAACAGAAGTAAAGATGAAAACTTGTTTTATTTATGAGTGGAAGTGGATAGAACAGTACATGTTAATGTTAAATATTTCCAGATGATTCTCGTGCTACAAGATTATTTTGCAGAAGTAATTGTTCCAAATATACAAGTGCATCTTTCAGCTGCAATTTTGACTCGTCACTGTGAAGTGAATTTACACATACTTCTAATGAAGAACCAAGTACACCTTCCATTTTTTAATTATATAATAACGCACACTTTTTTCCACCACTCACTGTCGTTGCTGCAAAATGGATGAAATCTTGTCATTCACTAATAACGGAACTTCCCTTTCCTTTCTGATTCTTTATTGTTAGAG